TGTAAAGTGTCCTGAGATGACTTTTGTTGTGATTTGGCACTACACAAATAAAATTTGATTTGATTTGATTTGATTTAAAACGGCATGTTAACTTAAAGGCCAGGCAGTAATACTGTACATTTCTTTTGATAGCTGCCTGGATATGTTGCCACCATTAACTGTTAGCATGCTGTACTGTTTGTCCAGCTAGTGGTGGGAAAAGGCCACAACTCATACTGTAAACTCAGGTATTATAAAAATTACTCTTTCTTGCTTCAGGGACTATAAAAAGTGAGGGCCACTCTTTGTGCTTGGAGCTCTTTTTTTAAAACGAGGTGTACCTAAAGTAATTCATGAGGAAGACACGTCACCCAGTGGAAATAACTGTGGCCTTGTTATTATGGAGAGATTGCAGATTTTACATGACATCATCCTGGCCCTAGACCTATCTCAGAAGCAGAGCTAGCTCTTGTTACACCAGAAAAAGTCACAGTACTGCACCCAGAAAAGAAAGTCTCTATTATCTGATTTCTGTTGTTCAAGTTAATCCTATGGAACTACTCCAGATGGAGATTTGATTTCACATCCTAAGGGTACATTTGCACGATCAAGACTGAATGAAACCTGAGCACTAAAAAGGCCCAGAGCTCTCACAGAATCACTGTGTGTCAGGAACGTAGTGTAAGCAATCAAGGATCACACAATCGGGCTGCAATACAGCTCACAAAGACAAAGTATAAATGAAACCAGATTGCGGTAATTAGACCTTCCAAAAGATGTCCAGATTTCTTTACCTGTCTTCTTTATTGATCTGGTCTCCAAAGCCCACGGTGTTGACGACTGTGAGTTTGAGGCGCACATTACTCTCCTGCAGTTCATAAGTGTTGGACTTGAGCGTGACTCCCGGCTGGTTGTGCTGGGTGGGCTCACCCTCAAACTTGGTGTTGAACAAAGTGTCCATGAGGGTGGACTTCCCCATACCCGTCTCACCTAGACAGCACAGAAAAAAAGCGTCATGCTACCGGGATCCTACAAACCTTGCTCTTGTGCTCCAGGCAGCTGGGTTTTTTTTTTTTTACCTCAGTAATAAACAATTAGTAGAATTTATACATTTATGATAATTTCGCCAAAAACAAACATTTGGAGCTTCATAAAAGCTGATGTTGAGGTGGACGTTTTGCATTGAAGTGCATACAACTGTACAGATGTACCTAATAAAGTGGCTGATCAGTGTACAAAACTGCTTTGAGGAAACACCAGATGCTTTTAATTTTATACCCTAAACAGATACTTTAATGTATGTATAGTCTTTCAAATAAAAGCTAAATTAAAATTGAATATCTGCTGAATCAAATCAAATCCGAATCGTACTGTCGCATCATTACAAATTTTGCTATATTGTTCTGTATCTAATCATGGACCAGATATGCACCAAATCAACAGAAATTGTCATATCGATCCTTGTTATTTTGTCAACTGGTATCAAATTTATTCTTAGTCTCAAAATATGTAAACTGACCAATTATTTAACAATATGAAAAAATAAAGGGTGTCCAATAATGTGTGTAGATTCGATGTAATACTTTGAGGACACTTAAAACAAAATATCAATTTAAAATGCTTACAGCCACAAAAACAGTAGAAGTAGCTGCTTATTTGCAGATGTATTCTCATATCCACTTATTTTTGGAAGCTGTCAAATGACTCAGATACAAAGCGCCTTCTGCAAGAAAAGCTATTTTTATTCATCACAGCCTGACCTACAGTCTAAGTGTGTTAGCCCATTTTTTAGGATATCTTGCTGTGTTCCAAATTTCCAAGCATTCTCTGAAAATCCATCCTAACTGATACATTAAGGGTCCTATCGCCTGTTTCTGAGCAAAGTGCAGGTCACTGTAGAGAAGTTGCTCGTGCTCAAAGCAATTTGGCAGCTTGTTTAGAGAGGATCCAGGCCCACACTGATAATGACAATATGGGCTAATGTCATAAGTAACACAACCAATCAAATCTGCTGAAATCACAAATAAGAGAAAAACCGTGTGCAAAATTCACAATGGCAGTCAAATTATAAGAACCAAAAATCACACATCTTTGCCTTAAGTAAAGCTTATGCCTCTATACTTGTACCACTTGTGTGTTGCACAACAGCACTTAACAGTTTGGAAAAAAAAACAACTTAGCTTTTCATCTTAGCCTCCCTATTCCTCAATGTGATATGCTAATGTTTTGTCTAGCATGTAGAAATTCAGGTTATATAGCATCAATATAAAGGAACTATTACTGGGCTTTTGATCTTTTCACTCCTACACAATGAGCTCAGTATATCCACAACAACAGTAAAGAGGAGACAAATGAAAACCATGCCACTAAATATGATCCTGTGGCATTTCCTATAATCAAAATATAGCTATTGATTGCAGTAATGAAACTAGAATAGCAGCATATCACAAAATAAATAGCTAAGTCTACAACTAAATGAAATTGACGAGATTTGTTACAACTCTCTAGCTGGTAGTAGAACAGCTGGGGCAAAATGACAGCATCACCATCAGAATTCTGAGCTACAAATTATCAATCAATGTGAAAAAATGTATGGAAAGGATCACTATTGATTCCAAATACCAAGAACTGTCTGATTGTATGCAAAAAGAAGTTATGCTATGTTGCTAAAAACAACCATATATGAAGTTGTAGCTTTCACTCACTGATTAAAAACATGCAGTGGATAAAATATTAGAAACGTGTCTCTATATAAGAAAAATATGATTAAACAGCTCCAGAAACTACAGCCTCCAAGATGTACACAAAGCTGAAACAACACTTCTCTAAAAACAATTTCAACCAACAGCTTTAACTGAGTGAGCATTTCATGGTACAGTTCAATATACAACAGAAAGCACAGGCAAACATTTTTTGTCTAACAATTCCAACAAATGATTTGCATTCAGCATAAAACTGTACTTAAATGAGCAAATAAGGTTGCTAGCGGTGATGCTGCTGAATAAAGTAACCAACTCTAACTGGCCCAAAGGAATTAAAGCAGTTTGTGCATCTTGTGGAAAAGCTTGACTTTCACGGAAACAAGCAAGTCATCTTTTAGCCTGAGGAGAGGAGAGACAGGAAAACATTTTCATGCACCGACACTCACCCACACAGAGGATGTTAAAACAGAACCCATGGTTGACAGACTTGTTAACCAGCTGGTCAGGCATGCTGTCAAAGCCGACATGGCCTGAAAGAGGGACAGCACGAGCACCTTCACCCTAAATAAAAAAAAGAAGGTACTGGAATCAGAAACTGTTTATGATTTGCCTTCTTAAAGCACTTTGATTTGACACCAGTAAACATACACACAATTTCCTCTGACACATTTACGTCTTGATGATTGTTGCTCTGTGGAAAAACAGCATCATATTCTCAAATAACACTTAAAAAACTAGACAACTTGAACCATATCTGACCATGTTCGTCTCAAAGACTAACTTCAGGTACAGTGCAACTCACTTCCTGTTTCCTGTGCAGTAACCTTCTTTTCACCGTTCAGATAGCTGGAAACCACAATATACATATATGGAAAGGTAACACTGTTTGTGTCAAGAAAATTGTAAAAACAACGAGCTCTGAGTACAAAAATAGATGATTCTGAAAATACGAGAGTCCAGTTGCACTTTTACTACATATATGGAAAGGTATCACTGTTTGTAAAAACAACGAGCTCCGAGTACAAAAATAGATGATTTTGAAAATACGAGAGTCCAGTTGCACTTTTATTCACTACATTTTCACACAGATTGCACACAGTCCTTCTCTAAACCACAGTGACACTGAACACCAAATTGTTTTCTCTGAACCACAGTGACACTGAACACCAAATTGTGAAAGCACTGTTGTTACATGTGTGTAGGAGTTTGTGGCTGGCAGTGAACATCTTAATCTCTGTGAATCTCATTTCTAAGGCTGCAGCTACATTATGAGGTGCAGTAAAGCAAAGAATTTTGATTATATGGCAAAATCAACTAACCCTCAGTCAACCGGTCATTATGTGGCTTAACATAACAGTGTTGCTTTCCAGTGTGGCAAAGGCTTTGAGAGAAAAACACTTTGTCTGAAGGTTCACATTTAAAATAACCAGACATGCTGATGGTACAAAAACAGTTGAGGATTATTTGGGTAGTTGAAACTGGATTTAAACAGCTGAAGGAGTATTTGGAATACTGAGAGTGATGCAACTGCACAAGCAGCCCCTAGCTATTCAACTGCAAATGGACCACTC